GATTTTGGGGTAATCCGGTCAACCCTGAATGTTCTAACTCTCAGGGAGTTTCATCGTATGACATGCGCTTCTCATCACCGAAGTGCAGTGTGTTATTGCAAGACGATCAGCTATTTGGTGGTTAATTGTGCCTTAACAATGATGGGCGCCAGGTACAGACAATTTACTTACCTTGGCATCTGCAGCGCTGTGCACGCGACTGCTGGAATAACTGGCGGCAGTAACTGACACTTCGCTTAGTCCTGTAATTGGTCTTGTATTGGTTATTAGTTATAACTTCGACCCGAACTTAGTGCTCCCAATAGATGTCACTGATAATATGATTAGTTTGGTGCTCTTGAGTGACCCCACTTCGCTTTATGACTAAATCTAGAGATCCACTACGACCGTCGGGAAAATGGCTACAGAATGGATTCTTGTTATTTCTTAACCTTCCTATGAGTCTGGTTACTCGTTTGGTTGCAAATCTGAGTCACCAAATTTTTAAAAATTATTCTGTGCGCGACCGAGTGAACTCGACAAATCCGGCGACGGTTTCTGCTGGGTGGTTGCTTTGTTACTCGATGGAACATGAGCATCCAGTTTCGTGCAATTGCAAATCCCATAGTCAAGTGTGGCGTCTAAGCATCGCATGCTGTACTCCCCTACGTTGACTTGTTGCCAGTAGGAGATGTGTCCCATTTGCAGGTAGCACTAAGCTGATCTCATACTTGCTTTTGGGGGTTTGTGCAGGAGGTCCGAGTGAACCAGCATTGTCAGTTCTTCTACTTGAAAAGCAGACGCCTTGGACTAATGATAATAATCTTTAACTGTTACAGAGAGGTCGAGCCCATCGGTGTCGCGGCCGAATGGTAGTCGCAAATCTGCAGGTACACATCACCTTGGTCTCGGATACAGCACACTGATAGTCCAAGAATTCGGGGAGCGGGGCCATAAATGTTTTTCGACACAAGCTTTGACTTGTCTCGCTACTCCTTACTTTCGAGAGGCATCGGTATTGCTGAACATCGAAGTCATAAAGCACACTTCAAACTCCGCGATTCTGGTCATTGCTAAGTTCAGCAGAACTGTCACCTAACATCAGATGATGGATGTTCAGACAACATTCTGGATGTTTTGATAGATCCTATAAAGTGTACTTACTTGTCACTTGACGGTGTAGAGACTATTCGTCTTGGCAAGATCTGCGGTGGGTTGATGGGAAACTGGATTGCTCTGTGAAGAGTTCAGCAGTGCTGGGATATCGACCACATCAGTCCTGAGCTCGGTTATGCCTCAAACCGGCGGTGCGAATAGAATCGACTTTCGACATCAGTTCTGAGAGGGGAGCGAAGTATGTACTTGAGGGCAGTGTATACCGTCTCTCCTCACTTTTTCGTGGGTAGCTCGCCGCTCGCAGTTCGTCACCGAATGAGTGACTTGGTTCTGAAGTACGTGGAATTTGTTGGTGCAAGTCTAGCCAGCGTCTGAATATTGCTTACAAAAGACCCATCTTTTGCACACGAAGGCGAATAGTGGAGAACGGGACCATGGCAGTTCATTCTGTGGCGATCCTGGGATAAGTAAAGTTGTCATTCAGTGCAAGGAAATTCGGATTGCCTAATGGGTGAGTATGAATGCCTGGCGGCAGCATTGCCACGAGAGCAGAGATAGGGAAGGAGTTCACTGTTTCGTACATAGAATTGGGTGGCATTTTCTACTAGATTGGGGTTGTACCTGACCCCATCTCGTGGGATAGGATCGACCCACCGAAAATTGACGTAAAACGCACTCAGTTCAAATTGTGAAAGCTAGGACGGCCTTGGTCGTGCATCATCCTTGGTGCCAGAAGAGGGTTTTTTTCGCCCTGAAAGACCGCGTGATAAAGGTAACCTTACCCTATGGTGGTTAGACTTAGACCCATTCTATATGAGGTGCGTACAATTTTTTGCTTACAGTGCTCCTGATATCGGATGTCACCAGTGTGTCCGCACTGATGATGTGCCTAACCAGTCGCTAGGCGGTGTTCACCAGACGGGTTGGTTAGTGCAACTGCGTGTAAGTTGCGTTGGCTTGGACGCGTACTATGTGTACTAGGTAATCGTCTACCTAGGAAAACGTCTTGTTTACCGGGTGTGTGACCGCTTAAGACTCGAGATGGACTGCAAAAATTGAAGTCATTGAAGGCTAGGCTGCTGTTCGTTTGTCTCGTGACCTAATTTGTGCCTGGCTCGTGACCTTACAAGACATCGCTGGCAGCCTGCGTCAATACCGTGTTTAATGCCGTTTCCTAAACGAATTTTCTGTTCATGTTGTGTCTGCTGCTGCATTATCTGTGGAGTGATGGCTGAGTGTGACGCGGGGCGTTAAATCATAAGGAAGCCGTCTCATCTTCACCTGATAACCATCTGTTTGTGACTATTACTTGCAACTTGTAGGCATTTTGGCGCTTAATATTTGCTTATGGCGTTTGGGTTTTACATTAGATACTCCCTCATTCCTTAGATCCTGGTTGCACAACGATGGGACATGTGGGCGAATGGCTTATGTACTCTTGTTGATGTTAATTACAGTTTTGTATTGTTTAGTTAGTGACATTAACTCTGATAGGGAGGAATCAGCATCATGGTCGTTGCAACCAGATAGTGTGAAGTCGGTGTTCCGTATTCCATTCGATATGATGTTTCATTGGATCCGCCACGTAGAGGGTAATATTTCTCATGTTGGGCGTCCTGTATTTTCGGATGATTATTTCATTATTTGCGCACCTCTGATGGTGTTACCGCTGGCGCTGAAATGCTTGTATTTCGTAACGCGGTCGGTTAATACGTCTTCTTCATCACACTACATTTGCGCATGTTTGCATATTTGTTCTATGCATCGCGCATCGTTCACCTGTCTCGCTCAGCCGGGTCGATGTGTGTGTCGCATTGCTGATCGGCTGTGTGCAGCGTCGGCCATAGTTTTTCTGCTTTGATGTGATTGCCTTCTCACCTTATGGAACTGCAATATGGATATGGGGAAACCCGAATCCCCACTCCCGACTGAAGCATCCTAGTTGCTGGTTCTCTGTCCACGAACTTTCCTCACTGTTTCGACAGCCTCGCATATTTTATTGTATTGACATCGATGCAATGTAACCATCGGTTTTATGCAAACCGTGGTACTGCTAGAGCGCACAAAATAGACAGGTGACTAAAGTGCTCAAAAATATTCACCAAGCTTGGTAATTTGGTTGTGAATGTTTCATTGCCAGGTGAGGTGACATGGCTTGACACAGCCATTTTGTATGGCTTTTGATATCCAGAGACCACCACTGCTGCTTCACCTTGGTTCTCATGTTATTGCGTCCTGGACCGAGCCGAGCGTTACGTATATAGACGCAAACTGGAAATGAGTACCATTTTCGTGCGGTTCAACAGGTTTGTCAGCTGTGTAGCATATAAATTTTCCGGACTATAGATGTAATGTGATGACACTCATTTGCGGAATGCGGCAATCATAAAGGCATGCCTAACAACATTTACGTATCTCGTGCTCGCTGATGCCCTTGGAAGTCAGATTCACGGGAACAAACTGGGATTCGTCTGAATCGTGGCCTAATTGACCACACCCTCATTTTAGATGAGATATTGGACCACCGCCATGTGCATTGGCGATTCACGGTGGTGCCTTAACTTCGGTGGATGGATGTACCATTTGGGACCATCCGATCAGCATGTGGACACCCGAGTGCATGGGTAGACTGAGGGTCCATGGTAAGCTGCGCTACTCTTTAATATCTCCAGTTGTGTGATACTAGGATTTTCGCTGTTACTTCCGCGTTCACCGAACCTGATTTTGAATGTGTGAAAATGCTCCCAAGTGATCGCTTTCTCGATTCGGAGTATGCCGACGATACTATTAATGAATAGCTTAGCACTGGTTGCCAATCATTTCGAGTTGTGTATCGCACCTACAAAGTTCAAAACTTTCCTCTATGCTGGGCTCGGATTTAACGTGTGCTTACTCTGGATGAGAGTCAGAGCTGGTTGCGAAATCCATCTACCTAGGCAGCTATAGCAATATCTGGATAACTGAGATCACGAACTGTACAACTGATCTTCATCACTTAAGGCGCCTGCGCGGCATCATCTTCAACCAGAAGGGTTGAGTCTACAACGCTACCGTCCATTTAGTTTTGCTTTATGGTTGCAAAACCTAGCCCTTCAGACAGACGGATACGAAGCGGCATATTGCGTTTGACCACGCGTGCCTTCACAGTCTAGTTTATACCTGATATGAACGCGGCATGAGCAGTGAACCTGCTCGGTGCCTTGTTTATGGTTCAGGAAACGAAATTGAGCAGCTCAGCACCACCATGTCTTGCATCGGTCTCCAGCGGTTGGGCCATTTGTTGTGCATACTAGTTCACTGGATTACCCTGCGTGCGTTTGCTTAACGTTGACAGAAGAGAAGGGACCAATTGATGACTTCGTTAAAGGGAGTGAAAGTTTTCGTTTCGAACATGGCCTCGGTTGTTGTCCACTGACTCTTTGACGGGGGCCTGAAGGACGATGAACACATTGGCTGGGTACATTTCTCGACATAAGGAAGAATCGACCTCAGTGACTCGTTCTGCAAATTTCTTCGTCCTTCTCTCCCGCTTACTTTCCTCCTCTAACCTCGGTCTCGTTACTGATGCATGATGAAACAAAGCGAATCCATTTTGTTTGTTTTCTTCGTGGTCATCCCATTGAATCTCATGCGGCAATAACAGTTTTTCACCTCTAGACTTAATAAGTAGGACGAGTGACTAGGAATACATATTTGAAACACCGTCGCCTTTCGTGTTATTGGCCCATATCTCCCCGCGTCATTTTTCCACACTTTCATCTAATGTTCCTCATTGTATCTCAACTGATTTTCTCTTAGGTTTTGTTACTCGTCACTATCATGACAACTGGGCCCATCGTATTTCTTTGCTTCTCACACGAGAATTAACCATTTCAAGTACTATTGCCAGACTTTCCTTTTTGCAGGCTTCTCCCAGATATTTATTTGTCGGTACGTCGTCGGTCGTGTTATTCTGATTAACTATTTTTCAAACCTGGATCCGCTTTGTTCCAGTTTACTTTCCTATCGGATGTGGTTATAATCATTACGAAAACTTGTATAACCATACTAAGCCTACGCTTCGGCATTCAACACCAGCTCTTCATATGACCCCACATGACTTATTTAACCGGACGTTGAAACGTGCCAATCGATGAATATGGTTACTTATCCTCAGCAATGATGTATTTTATTTTTAAGCAGTTCATCATTTATGCTCAGTCCTACAGCCCGCACACGCCCGGAAAAGTACTTGGTATTTTCATTGACTGTCGTTAGTCTGTAGTTAAGACCACTGAGGGATAGGGAACGGAGACGATCGCCGTGATTGTTACCGCATTTGATACAGCGCCATTCAGATTGCCTGCACACTGCGTGCGATTCCCTAACCTATGAAACGACCGTAAAGTGCTTTTCCGGGCGTGTGATGGCTCTGTTTAAATTTGATAGATTTCTACTTATACCTTTCAAATCTCCCTTCTACTTCATGTCTTTTGCAGATATTGGCCGTGGTTTTGACGTTTCCACTGTCTCTGGCTTTCACACTTGGGTGGCGACCTACTAAACTGGATTCGGGAAACCCCTTTGCTCCAACTGTTTCAGCCGTGATACCCCAGGTTGTTACACTTTCACTATTTTTTGTTGCAAGTTACAATGATCGCAAAAATGGATGATCCAGTTACATAATCTTTGCCGTTATTTTCGACCCACTCTTACCTCTTTACCACGTTATGAATGCCGTTTCGCCGAGCTTAAACTCCTTTAAGAGCGTTTTCGTGATGCTCGTCTTTATCGACGTTTTCTCCCCTCCCTTGTTTGAACGATGAGCGGTACGAATGGTGTTCCGTCAGCGCATAAGGTGGATATTTAAAAGTCTCTCAATCGGGTTTTTGAGGGGCGACTTTGACGACCTTTCCCACCTGATGACCGACGTTGCGTGAACCAGAGTGATTTGGCCCTGTCGATCGGGTCTTCCTGCTAAATGTCGTCATTTACACGGTGCAGTTTGGCTATGTGGAGATTCTCGTCAATCGTTTTTTCCTCCTGAGCTTCAGTTCAAAGAGTCTCACAGTCACTAGACGCAGGTTGTCCTTTTTTACGATGCTGGTTTCTTTTAACTCTCCACTGATGTGCCTTCTGAAACCGTACATCCATTCCTTACATTCCGGTGGAGACGCATTTTTCTCTTTAGGTTCTGTATATGTTACGGAGCTCGCATATTTCCACGAAATTTGTGCAACATTTGCCTCAGCTTACCTCAGCAATACTGTCGCCGTGCGATGACTAACTATGAATGTAACATCCAGGCTCTTCTTAATGAAATCGCTGTTGTGTCATCTCACACTGCGCAGACTTCATCCAACCTCTCCCCAATGACATCGCCGTATTTACCGTCAAGCCTCAGTGAATCAGCTGAGCTCTACTCAGGCCACTACCATTGCACGGTCATTCATGTGCCTTGCCAAGGTTCAACTTCCTCTATAGTTCATGTATTACGCTGCTACATTATTGGGTTATAAATACGAAGTGGTATAAGGCATGTTCAGCTTACGAATTCCTACCGTTCCTTATCCTAAAACCATCACAAGCCTGCCCCGTAATCTGAAGGCCCGGCCCAGGGGACCTTCGCACATACTACTAGGGGTGGTTGCGCGGCAGCGGAGCGTCGGTGCTGCGTACCGCCATACTACTGGTGTTTTTTGGTTAACGAGTTCTTGCTATAGGCTAGTCTTTCTGGATCCTGGTGTAGTTATGCAAGCTTACGCCTTTGTTCTCCATTCTCAGTGCACATGTACGGCGTCTGGCGCTGGGTCACTTAGGCCGTACCGGTTCGCATTTAGTTAGGTAAGTTGTGTGTGGGGTGCTATCGGCGAAGAGCGTATCATCTGTTCTGACTAGAGGGGTGAGACAAACAAACTCACAGTACGAACGCCACTGAGGTCGGCTGCTAGCCATATTAGCAAGAGTGTCCAACCAAACGTGTTCGTCGTCTTTCGGACCCCAACCAGGGAGCCGAGACGCTCCAACCGAGGCCAGCTCAGAAGTGAGGGCCTTCATTCCTCTGGACCAAGTCATCTCTTGGCCACCCCTCTTCCATCCACACCCCAGGCGCGCAAACAACACACGTCGCGGGAGTCTGGGGCTGGCATGCGTAACACGTGTCCGAGCCATCGGAGCCTGATGAGTGAAATAACGGTGCTGAGCGGTTCATTTCCTTTTCCTGTGCCGTAAACAAGGCGTCGAACACGCTCGTTGCTCACGCGGTGTTGCCACCAGATGTGAGCTAAATTACGAAGGCACCGGTGGTCGAACGTAACTAGCCTCTTCAGGTCCGCTGCTTTAAGCGGCCAGGTTTCACAACCGTACAGTAGGGTGGAACGTACCGCTGCATTGTACACTCTACCCTTCAGGGTGAGAGTGATGTCGCGCCGGCGCCATAGGTGGCGAAGGTTAGCAAAAGCGCCCCGAGCTTTTGCTATACGACTCGTGATTTCATGTTCAATCCCATGGGCGCTGATACAACTTCCCAGGTAGTTGAATTTTTGGACGACTTTTAGCTGATCCCCAGCAAGGGTCAGCGTAGGAGGCGGTCCAGACCAATCTTGGAGAAACGCTTTGCACTTCGAGGGTGCGAAGCAAAGCCCGAAGTGACGGACAGCTAGTGCTAATCTGTCCAGTGCCGCTTGGCACGTTTGTGAGCTGTCACAGATCAGGGTAATATCATCAGCATACTCTAAGTCAAGAAGTCGTTCTGCTGGGAGTAGTTCCACACCTTCTAAGTCGTGTCCTGTGAACGCGATTTCCATGACTTTGTCAACAGCGAAGTTGAAGAGGAAAGGTGACAGCGGGCATCCTTGTCTCACGCTGCTGGAGATATTACAGGGCAACGACAACTTGCCGTAAGCCCTCACTCTGCCCGAGCTACGCGGATATAATCCTCGGATAATATTCACATGTTTCTCAGGTACACCTTTCCTGAGTAGACAGTCCCAAAGTGCATGTCTATCCACCGAATCGATTGCACCTTTGATATCGAGGAACACGACAACGGTGGGCCGCCAATATATGTGACGGTGCTCCAACAACTGACGCAAAGTGAAGATGTGGTCGATGCAGCCACGACCTCGACGAAATCCAGCTTGCTCTTCACGAATCTGGGTTTCACGAGTGCCAGTCAGTCTGTGAAGGATGACAGAGGCAAGCAATTTGGAGGCGATGGAGATCAGACTGATTCCTCTATGGTTGCCGCATTCCGATCGTGAGCCTCCTTTGAAAATTGGGACTATGATGGAGCGGCTCCAATCGGTTGGGACAGTTTCCTGCTCCCACAGTTTGACTAGTAACTCGTGTAAATCATCCACAAGAGCAGGTCCCCGAATTTGAAGAGGGCTGGAGGAAGGTCATCAGGTCCCGCGGCTTTATTTAACTTCAACAGTTTGACTTTACGTTCGACTTCTGAGCGAGAGGGTGGATCCAAAGGGACAGCCCAGGGAGCAGGGCGATCAGTGGCCGGCGAGAAATCTAACAATTCCGACCGATTAAATTGCCTTTCAAAGTGCTCATCCCAACGCTCCAAGCGTTTTGATAAGTTGTGGATAGGCTGTCCACTCTCTTCACGTATAGTTTCACTAACACCAGGTCTCCTGCTGCCCGTTTCCCGTATACGACGGAATAACTCACGATGGTTACCAAGGGCAGCGGCCATTTCCATCTCTGTTGCACGACGAGACCACCAGGATTCGCGGTCTCTCTTCAGGCTAGCACGGAGTTTCGCAGAGCGCTCTTTGCGAGTTTCATTGTGTTCGCTTCCAGCTGGAATATGCCGGCGGGCATCTATAAGTTCCAGGGACTGAAGAGACCCAATGTCCATGTTGGCGATTAGACATACCACATGAGGATTTGCCTGCTGCTAGTAAGGCCTGTTGCGTACGAGACCAGTGATCTTCAATTGCATCCAGTGAGCGTTTATCCAACTCGGATGACAGCGTAATTTAATAGGCGTTCAGAACAGCTGGCTTCACCAGTCTGCCGGTGTCAATGCGCTCACAACATCGTCGCGGACGTCCGCCAAAGCGCATCCGCAGGTCAGCACATACAAGTGCATGATCGGTGTCAACACCTGTGCTCCAAATCGAGCGACAGTTCTGGACGCAGCCTCTCCAGCGGTAATTGATAGCAATGTGATCGATTTGCGTCCAAAGCTGGTTCGAGGCTGGTGGGCGCCAAGTCACCCTCCGGCGGGTGCTGTGTAGGAAATTAGTGCTCGCGAGAAATAAGCGAGCATCCTCACACAAATGAAGTAACCGCTCACCGTTATCATTACGGAGCCTATACCATGTTGGCCGTCCAGATGCAGCTCATCTGTGGATAATTTTCCAACTTGAGCGTTCAGATCCCCGGCCAGCACTACAGTGTCCGTGCTTCTTCTGTGGCGAAGGAGTTCGTTCATTTGGCGATAGAAGTCGTCTTTTACCGATTCCTCGCTACAGTTTGTCGGTGCATAGGCAGCGATAACGAATAGACACCTGTTAGTCCCACGCGACTTCGAAGTTTTGAACGAGCCAGCCAATCGGACCGCACACATCCGGCTACTGATTGGAATCCAATCAACCAGAGCAGCTTCAGCCCGGGGACTCAGGGCAATACCAACACCGGCTTGGCCGGTGCTCGAAGCTGCATCGTCACCGGATAGGCGCAATGAGAAAGTGCTGCTAGTGTCACCTGAAGGGGATCGCAGAGTGAGTACAGAGCTCGAGTCTTGCAGGCGGGTCTCCGATAAGCAGCAGATATCGATGGAGAGGGTCTCTAATGTTCGGGAAAGTGCTGGCTGTTGACCGATCTGAAGCAATGTGGGAACATTGAGGCATGCCAGTCTGAAGGAGGATCGAGGGCTCCAAATGGAAGCCGATGAACTGGAATGGGCCGCTTGCTTGGACATGGGCTTGTTGACAGTGCAGGAATGACGCTCTGCGTTCACCTGTGAGTTGAAACTAAAAGACAAGCGACTATTGAAGCAAGGTGGGGGAGGGCCGAGAATTGGGGGGTTGAAAACATAGGGGATAAAAGTGAAGCTGGAACGGGACGATAAGGGTGAAAATGCGCAAGAAGCGGAATAAGAAGACGGGAAGGCTTGAGCAGTAGCATCCAAACCCCTATCCACCCTGTTCGATGCAGCATATAGGGCACCGTTGATTATCCTCTGCGGTGGCCAGAGCATCAGCAATTTGTTTGAGGACAGATTCATTGTATTGTATGGGCAGGATGCTGTCAGGTTGTCCAGGCCTAGACAGGAGAACGATTAGGGTTCTCAACCAAAGCCTTTGGTTCAAAAACCTGACCGCAAGGCAGCGGGTTTGGCACTGGACTACAAGGAGTCCGTTTTAAGGAATAAGGAGCCACCCTCATTCCAACCCCCAACCTGGAGGACCAGGAGGCTGAGTTTGTCTAGCCTCTAACCATTGACCAATCTGGTATGAGTGGCTCTGAAGGTGCAAAAGCACCACCCGGTATAGCTCAATGGATCTCTGAGGCACACAAACCATCGCACCACGGTAAGGTCCAGCCTCATTGCGATGGACGAAATTCAACGGAAATGGGGAAATCGTACAATCCTGAC